TGGGTAAGTTGTGCCAAAAAGATGGAGATTTACTGCAATACAGTTCTCTTGTGACCCTAATCAGCCAAACTGCCCAGGAGCATATCATGATCAATGATATAAAATACTGCTCTGGGGCCTATTGGATCCAACTGGTATGTGCTCCTGTTGTCTAGTTCCTGAGATAGATGATCCACAAGGCAGTTTATGTTCCATTGTCAGAATCCAGGCAATCAGACACATCAATGAAAGCATGGATTTATGCTACTAGACTCACTCTTATTTTGAAAAGAAAGGTTAGAAACTAACAGTTATCTAGGATGGTGAGATTCAGGGAAGATCCTGCAACCACTTATTTTAGAGAAGTTGAACCTCAAACCTCCTTCAAATAAACCTGTACAATCTCCACCCTGTGAGTGGCAAGTGTTGCTCTAGCAGCTTTTAGCTGCCAGAATGGACATAGATCCAATGAGCAAGGGTTATTTATTTATTTATTTATTTGTAACTTTTATATCCTGTTCTTCTCTACCTCCGTAGAGGGACTCAGAACGGCTAACAGCAAAATTCAAAGCTATACAATTAATATCATAAAACAACATACAATAAATAAGTTCTAAAATACATATAAAAACAATTCATCACATTAAAACAACATCCCACTCAGTCCAAAACGTCGTGGCCAAATAGCTCTTAGTCTATATCGAATCATCCGTCAATCTACAAATGCCTGATTCCAGGATTTTAGCTGCTTTCTGAATGATGGGAGAGAGGGAGCAGACCTAATCTCACCAGGGAGAGAGTTCCATAGCCAGGGGGCCACCACAGAGAAGGCCCTGTCTCTCATACCCACCAAACGCACCTGCGAAGGTGGTGGGACCCAGAGCAGGGCCTCTCCGGAAGATCTTAAAGTCCTCGATGGTTTATAGGGGAAGATGTGTTCGGACAGGTAAACCGGGCCCGAGCTGTATAAGGTTTTGTAGGTTAAAACCAGCACGTTAAATTGTGCTCGGAAGCTAACTGGCAACCAGTGGAGCTGGTGCAACAGGGGTGGGGGGTTGTCATCTCTCTTCAAGCAACTTGTTCACACTCTCAAACTGAATAAACTGAAACTCATTAACACGATGAAGGGGGTATTTCCAACAAGGCTCCATCCTGGCTCCGTCCTGGAGGCATCCTAAGATGGAGCCCTGAGAACACTGGTGGCTGTCTACCCATGTTCTCATAGCCAGCGTGAGGGGAGGCTGAGCAGCAACACTTTCCCCCATGTAATGAGGAAGATGGCAATATGGGACATGGGATGACAGTTTCCTCTACTGCCCCACAGATTCGCCACGCTGCCCGGCAAATTCCCCCACTGTCGCCCGTGTTAGGGACTGCAAAGTCAGAACACATTTGAGCAATTCTCTCCAGAAAACGCTTTCCAAATTGATCACAGCAAAGTTTCTGAGGACTTCTGAATACCTTGAATTCAAGAATATAAACAAACACCCTAGACTATGCAAAACATATTGGACTGAATGTGATGGTAAACATTCAAAACAGGGGCAGCCGTGAATGGCATCTTTGTAATAGGTTCTCAAATTGGGCTTTGCCTGGGTTGAGCTACATTTGTCTTTCTTCGTTGTTGATTTAATCAGCTTCCCAAGCACTTTTTACAGTTAAACAGGCAGACTGTTCAATGACATGAATGTATGCTTGTCTTTTCTGATTTTATTTACTTTATTTTGATGACTGTATATACCACAGTTTGCATATAGTAGATAAATCAACTGTGTTTCAATGCCCACCACATAAGTTTAACTCATTTGGGTTAATTATTTAGTATTGTGAATTATTGCATATATTATTAGACTATTCTCCATTTCTGCAACAGATGGAGGACACGTTATTTCTTGTAATGCCACAGGTAAAGATGATCCAGACATTCAAATGAGGAATCTCATTTAATAAATATGATTTTATCTGGTTCCTGTAAATGTGTACTTCATATTTAAATTCCAGTGCTTTTATTATGAAATCCATTGCAAATAAATAAAGCTTATTATTAAAGCTTATTAAAGAAAAATATCCAACATTCACAAAGATATTGCTTGTCCAAACAGACAGCATTCACTGACACTTGACCTAGCTTCCTCAACATTGATTAAAGAGCAACAAGCCATTAACTGGTTTATCTCTATCCCCCAAGATTTATGAATGTGGATTATATGTCACAAATTTTCCTCTGTTGGAAGGGTTTTGCCTGTCTATAAAAGATTAAAAACAACAGTCAGGGGTTGAGCATTATCTTTACCCAACCACAGTCTTACTGTGTAGATATCCAGAACATAACACTTTTGCCTTTTTAGTGTATAATCCTCTTAGTGTTATATACATTTTAGCAAGCTTTAACATTTTGTTTTTAATTTAGCTATGAACAATTGTTATTCAAGATATATAATTACTATTCTCAGGAAAGTGTCAACACTTGCTTCATCCTCTCTAAGCACATTTTTAGATTTTAAAAGTCTAGCTGCCCACACTGGAATCACAACTCTGTTGTATGAAATATTTGGTCCTCCGGTTTTAATTCTCAAATGTAATTTTTCATTACCAACTAGAATTCACAGTAATACTCTCCCCTTGCCATGATCAAAACAGAGTTCTATATTCAATTTTGCTGTATTTAAAGTGTAACCACATTACACACCAATCAAACTCAATTCACAATAAAGATAAGTAGTTAGTTATGTTTAAATACATGCATTGCATAAACCTCCACTAGTTGCAAAGTCACTAAACCATTGGTGCTGTTGTTGTATGTTCTCAAATAATTTCTGACCTATTGCAATCCAAAGGCAAACCTTGCATGGGAATTTCTCAATAAGATTCATTCAGAGGTGGTTGGTCTTTGCTTTTCTCTGAGGCTGAAAGTGTATGCCTCTTACTACACTTGGGGCTTTTGGCTCCTTTCTCCTCTTCTGGGATGGAACCTGCCGAGCGCCATCAGATGACGCTGGCTTGCCACCTCCCCCTGGCTTTGGAATACCCTCCCAAGGGAAATCAGGCTAGCTCCCACCCTCCAAACCTTCTGCACACAATTAAAGACCAGGCTTTTCTGACTAGCCTTCAGCCATGTGTAGACCCTCGACTAATATATATGAGGACTTTTAGATTCTCTATTAGCACTTTATACTTCTAAGATCAAATACTGTTTCATCTACATCAATTGCTGTATTTTAATGTTTTTACCAGGGGGTATTGTGAATTTATGGTGTTGTGTTGGTTATTTATTGTCTACTCATACGTTTTGTGTTGCACTTGTTGTATTTTGCATATCACATCTTGAATGTTTTGTGAGCCATCCCAAGTGAGAAGGTGGCAGGATATAAATAAAAGATGATGATGATGATGATTATTATTATTATTATTATTATTGGCCAAGACACTTCCTTGCAAGATGCTTCCTCGCCACCCATGTAAGATAAGTTGTGTTTTGGGTAGCTTTGATGGAGCTACCTGCATTTTTCTGCCCTTTTACCCATCTGATGGAGGCAAGGGACAGGATGTCAATGTGCCTTGTCTTATTCCCTCCTTTTGATGGGAGGAAGGAGGGAGGGCATGCAGGGCCCTTTTTTTTTTGCAATTGCTTTTGCAATTTATTTATTTATTTTGCCATTTTTGCAATTGCTGGCAAAAATGGAGCAACAGTGAGGTAAGTGTGAAGAGGTCCTATGACTTGGCAAAGGTCACCAGTGGGTTACCATGACCAAATGGAGAATTAAACCCTGTTCTGCAAAATAAAAAGGTTTTCAACATAGCTCACAACAACATAAAACAGTTTGAAATTCATAAAAGTATAAATATGCAACAGAAACAGAATGTTTACTCCAATGTAATTCAGTATAAATGATGCTGCAAGTCATTTCTGAGAGTTACTCTGGATTGTGCTCTGACTTACAAGCACTGCTTGAACATCAAGCAAAAAGTGGGTGCTAGAAGGAACACTGTATAAAAGCTGACTGGCACAACCTGGGGATCACAACCAGACACAGTGAAGAATTCTGATCTTGCACTTTGCTACTCTGCTGCTACTCTGCTGCTGAGTTCAAAACTTTTTTTGTTTTGCAGAACATCTCACCATGTTAAAATAGTGGATGTGGCTCTTAATGGGACACGCTGCATTATCACAGAATGTCTACACCCAACACCACTGGAGAAATTATACTGTTTAGCCGGTATTGCACCTGATATTCACCAGGAAGTAGCAGCCAGTGAAGAAACTACTAAGGCATTGATATCTCCTGCCCACCCTCTGTTCGGATATCAGCCTGCAAGCCAATGCCTTAAATCAAGAAATAGCTTCCTAAGATCTACAGAGATTTATTTATTTCATTTAGGAGATTTCTATGCAGGCAGACTCGAGGCAGCTCACATCATCTTAAAATATACATTGTAACATAAAACCAAAGCCAAAAACAAATGATAAAAGTTCAAAGAATGCTCATTCATGTTGTAAACAATAAAATTAAATTCGGTTTCAAATTCCCAGCACAACCATAACGTGCTTAGTTAAAGGTTACTTCAATGGGCTAGTTGTAGTTGGGCTAGCTGCGGATTTGTGTTTTTTTCCTTGCTAGAATCAGGGGTGGTGATTTCTATTCAAGAATTGCACTACTGCTTCTGAAACAGTCAATGTTATACTTCTGCAACATGATGCTCTTTTTAAAAAAGCTCCCAGGGTGTTCCTGTAATAGTTGAAGAAACACTTTATTTTATAGGAAAACAGATCCTAATTAAAATCATGCATGCCTAACAGCAGCTAGTGAATTGGTTTGCTAGCTGACACAAATAAACAGAAACTGCTAATATTAGTAGGGGCAATATTTTCTGCCTGTATTGGATTGTTTCCCATTGGAAACACATTCCAACCTCTTATGACCCAGTAATTTTATCCATATTCAGAGAAAAACTGCTCAATTTACTTTTACATTTTATGAAAGTCAGAAATATTTGCTTTCATAGATGTCATTATTGCTCACCTTAGATCGCATAAAATAGCTGTTGGGATCCACAGTTGCCAAGGTCTGATGTTCCTGAGGACTGGTTAATGTGAGATTGTCTGGAAATCCAGTACAAGCTTCCCAACTGAAAATAAGTAGTCAAAAGTGGTTGCTATTTAGGATTTATTTAGTTTAAATGACAGATATCACTTTATTTCAACAACATCCATAGCAGAACCAGACTTTTAACAGGTTAAATGAATTTAATTTTTTTAATGCTCATAGCTCACTAATGCTGGTTTAATCCACAGGAAACCCTTCACGACCCCATTTGGGGTCACGACCCATGGGTTGGGCACCACTGATCTATAGGAATAATGAATCTGCCAATATTTTGTGCGACCACAAGGCGCTTTGATTATTCAGGGTGGTATCTTGAATTCCAGCCACTTCTGCTCTCCGACTGAAGTCCTTCTAGGCCCCATCCAGTGTTCTTTTGAATATCCATTGTCCTTCAATAACTGACTGATGGGAGCTGCAGTGAGGATGGGGAAGGGAAAATTTACTGCATGAACTGAACTTTATTTTCCTTAAGGCAGTGTTTCTCAATGTTTCAGGACCCCTGGGGGGGGGTTCATGAGGAGTTTCAGAAGGGTCTTAGGAACCCCTTTGGCAGAAAAGGCTGAAGATCTCTATACCTGTCCTTCTATTCCTTTTTAGAAACAGATTGCAAATCATCCCACCAAAAGCCTCCCTCCTGCTCCTCCAACTGGCCCCTCAGCCAAGGGGAGGGCTGTTTATGAGATTCCAAGCGGGGACGGGAGGGCAGGCATGCTCGGCACATGGCAACATGGTGCACATGCATGAGCAAGGGAGAGGGTGCAAAACTGGAGGAGGGCTCACGCAATTTTGATAATTACACATGCCATGAGAACCTCATGTTTGTTTATTAAATAATGCAGGAAGTATATGAATTCAAGCTCTGTGAATGCACTTTATGACCAGGCTCAAAGTATGAATATCATCACCCAATTATGTACATGTTTTAAAAATGGTACTAGATTTGGGGCAGTTTCACATTTTACACCTTTGAAATTTATGATACAGAACAGAAGATCAGCATATCTTCAGCTCAATGCTATGCATATACTAAGAAACATATTTAGCAGAGCTCAAGGCAGTTTATTCACATGTACATGGATATAAAGTTGCCGTTTTGGCACTAGAATCTTATCATTTTTTATACAAATTCTCAATGAAATTTTATGTCCCACATCCTTGTGTTTAATCCATACTTCTAACAGAGGCTGAAGACTTGTTCTGTTTATTCTTGAAAACTGCACAGCTACTGCATGTTTAATGATATATAACAAGCCCATTTTTATTATATTTAAAGTAACAGCTGCAAAATATCCCAACATTTTAATCTTCTTTCTCTTCCATTCCCCTCTGATTCCCCAATCTTAGGCTTAGTGGATCAGAAAACTCAAATAAAGCAGGAGTTAATGTACTTGTCACTTCCAGGCAGCAAATCAACAGTGGGATCCAGAAGTGTTTTATAAATAACTGTGATGCCATTCTTTTCAGCTGCAGTCACTCTGTCAAAGGTCAGACTCAGAACAGGATTTAAGGGAGACCTGAAAAATGGAAACATCATCAAAGATGACCTTTTGGGGGCTGAGGGAGGCATCAAGCAGCTGCAAAACCAATAATTATATGTATATAGAGCAGTGAACATAAGAGCTGAAGTTGTTAAGAATGAATCCAGCCATAAGACATTCAATTTTATACTATTTCTGTTTGAAAGTTTTTTTAAAAAAAATCATACAGTAGCAGCAAGCACCTTACTGCAGCCTCAGGTGATTTCACATTGGGAATTCATTATCACCAACACAAGATTGTTATCTTTATTAACCTATAGGTTACAGATAGCAAGGAAATTGAATTATTCCTGAAAGAACGGCTCATTTCTATGCAAAAATAACTGCTGACAGATTAGGGGGAGGGAGCATATTCAGGCAATGCCTTACAAAACTGCAAACCATTTTCAAATTAATGATCAATAACTAAAGTCATGTTTGCCCTGGCAATTTTATTTTAATAAAAATGAAGAAGGAGACATGGAATATATTTCCTTTTTTCAGAAGAAACAAGATACGGAGAGGCAGTAACCATTCTGTAGCACTGCAGATCAACCTCAAATGTTTATTTATATGTAATGATGGAAAAGCAGATAGGCTGGAAACATTTTGTGGCTTTCTATCTTCCAATTGTAGTCAAAAGGGGAATATTTCAATCAGCCCCCTAAAATTCTGGCTGCTTGCAATCCCTAAAAGTCTGCAACTTGGATGTCTGCCTGTCTGTTTGCTTTCAATTTCCCCTTCAATCCTATTCAGAGATTCCAGGAATTACAGTGGGTAGCCAGTAACAGAGGCTTAACTGGACTAAGGAACAGTAAAACTCAAGGGAAAGATATAGGAAATACAGTCCTTGTGAGTGTGGTAATTAGTTACCACTTTGACTCCTGAACTATGGGACACAGTATGTTCTTGCTTATTTAAGGACTATTACATTTGATGCCACATCACAAAAGTCTGTCCTTGGTTTTACGAACTACATGATTTCATGGGAGAGTACTTCAATATGATGAAAAAAATGGACAGTCAGTTTCTTAATCAGAGTAAAACCGGCCATGACATAAAGGGGATAAAACAGCTGTTCAATGAAACTGTCCTTCAGCAATGTTTTTGGTAGAAAAATGTAAGGAAAATTACTGTTCAACTGAAAAGTTGCAAAGTTTTTCTTTTATGGAAAGATGGTTAAGTATGAAATGATATTGTTATGGGTTTAAACTTGTTTGAATAACTTTCCAGTGAGTCCTTATTACTCTGCATCTCTGATCTCAAAGAGATTCTGTTATCTTCTTAACATTGCAACAATGATTCCCCAATTTTAATTACTATTGGTTTCAGTGTAAATTGTTAAAATAACATTCTGCTGGATGGAGAAGAAGTTTGGTCCTTAGAGTAGATAACATACCTTCCCCTTTCCAATAATGAATGCGTTTGTCAGAGTTGTAAAGAAACCTATTGAGAAACGGATTTTCAATAAATAAATGTAAGCTAACCTCTTTGGAGAAGGCAAATTATATGGTTTGGCTTGAATCACACAGAGTTAAAATTCCTCTCTGGGAATCGAAGGGTCCATCCAGACAGCACCTTTATTGTGGAAACTTCCACAATAAAAAGGGGGCTGTTCAGACAACATTCTGGGCAGCCCCACATTAATTCGGAACAAACCAGGAAATTAGGGGATTTATTCCGTGCCCTCTTGGAAGGCACAGGATAAATCCAGTATTTCCACGTCTGGGCTGTGGAATACCGCAATCCATACACCATTCCCACAATTTAACAGGCTAAATAAGCCCAGTACAGTGTGGGAATACCCACCCCTCCTCCCCCCAAGTCCCCAGACCTCTTAGAAAAGTAGTAAAAAAAACTATCCTCTATTAGAAGCCTTGGCAAGCTCTCCCAGCATGTAGAATGATGCGCCAGGAGAGCAAGGGTGGGAAGAGGGAGGAAAATCCCCCCCCCCACTCTCCTGGCGTGTCATTTCTACGTGCCGGGAGAGCTTGTTGAGGCTTCTAATGGAGGACATGTGAGTTTTTACTACTTTTCTAAGCGGTCCAGGGGCTTGGGAGAGGAGGGTAAGGCCTCCGGATGTTCTCTCGAGTTAGTCCCAAGAGAATGTCTGGACACCCACACCAGAAAGCGCACACTTTGTAACGTGGGTGCCGATAGACCCCCACAAACATCCACATTTTTAATGCGGATGTTTGTGAGATAAAGGGCTGTCTGGAACTGCCCTAAGACCCCTTCCACACAGCTGAATAAAATTCCACATTTTCTGCTTTGAACTGGGATATATGGCAGTGTGGACTCAGTTAACCCAGATCAAAGCGGATATTCTGGGTTATATAGCTGTGTGGAAGGGCTCTAAGGGAACTATGGATTCTCTTGACCTTTTGATACAGAATCTGATGTTAATGTTGGAATGGAGTGAACTTCCACCATATACCATATACCTTTAGTGATGTCCTTCTAAGGAAAATGAATCATAATCTTTCTCCTGAAAATAACCCAAAAAAAGAATGCAAATTTTGAACTATAATGCAATGCATTCAATTGGTGTCTCCACGGGAATAAATTACAAAAACAACAAGAGGGACTAAATGGGGGATGGGAGTGATGATATGATTTCAGATACCTTCATGTACCTGAAATCAATCTCCCTTACTTCAAATTCTTCCCAGCCTGGTTCTTATAACATCATGCTTGATGAAGAAATGGGAAATTTTGAAAGCTTGCACATTTTTGTGACCTTTTGGTTGTTCTTAAAAAAAATATTACACTAACATGGATTTGAGAGTGAATCACTATAAATAAATAATAGAAATCACAGGAATTTAAAAAAAAATCTCCCTTCTAGGGATATTGAATATTTGTACATTTTATCATCCTTGTTGGGAAAATAAGGTGTCTGAAACATCACAACACATTACCAAGAAAATGGGGTTTGGATTGGAGACTTTTTTGATAAAAATGTTTGCATCCTTTTTTGCACTTAAAACTTCTTTTCTGGGTAAAAATAAACACTGTGGTGCAGGAAATAGCGCAGTTTGACCTTTCTGTGTAAAATGATGCTTTTTACTCAGAAAATAAGTTGGCTGAGTAAATAAAACCCATACTTTCTACACAAAAAAGATAGGGGTTTGAGCAGAAAAAGGGGTTTGAGCAGAAATCGTCACAAATAATATTCACATGCAACGAAGAGAAACTAACAAGAAAAAAAATCAATGAAGATCTTCAGCCCTACCCCTACACATTCTACAAAATTGTATTATTATGACTGCATGTTTCCTTTGCCTGAATGAACAGCTTCAATGGCAATAAAAATTAAAAATACCTAACTTTTTCCATTTCCTTTTACTTTGTATGTTTGCTACATCTGAGGTCAGTTGTGTTCAGTTATACTATATATTTTGAAGTACCTTTGTTTCTATTGCCTGTCTTTTTCTTTCACACAGCAATAGTATACAAAATGGTAATTATAAATAATGCAATAATAATGAGAAACTTCAGAAATGTACTTTCAAGTTCATTTTGGTAAAATCAGACTTAAAAAACATATCATTTGAATAGCAGATGATGTTTAAGAGATTACAGTACTTGCTTGCAAGCAACATTTCTGAAAAGATGTTCTGTTTTCCACAAGGGAAAACTGAGTGACACTCCTTCAAAGAAGAATGATTATTCTAAATCTGTGTCAACACAAATGCAATGCCTATTCCTCTACATGTGAAATAAAACATTTAAAACGTGTTAGAAGGGAGAGAATAACACTAATTCAGGCATTTCTTATTAAATTTTTGCAATGCTTTTTTTCTTTTCTGGAAGGCCAGTTCAAAACAATCAGCAAAACACAACAAAGAAAACATCACTTTTTATATTTCCCTATTTAAAATGCAAAACTTTTCTTCTTTTCATAAAACTATGCACACTGCCAACTTTAATAGCTAGCCAGATTCTAGTTGGAAATGGAGGGAGGAGGAGAACAAACATTGTCAAGGAGATGTCCTGCTGACTGCTTTTGTGTTCGAATAATTGAACATAAACACATTGCAAAAATAAATATTTCTGCAGTGTGTGTATGTGTGTGTGTGTGAAGGCAAACTAGCTGTTGTTGAAAACAATATATATAAGAAAACATTACTCCAATCTGCTTAGTTCTGGAAATGTACTTAGTTCTGGAAATGTACTGCTCTCAGATGCTCCCATTATGGCTGAATCTACATAAAGTTATATCTAGTTTATTTAGTGCTACACCCATAAAAATGTTAAACAAGTGAAAAATAACAACTATCCATCAACAAAGAAATGAAAAATGATCCATCATAATTTTTGCAAAATGTAATATGGGGAATTGTGTGAATGTATAAAAGTAAGGAAACACCATCTAAAACAGTCAAACAGAAGCAAAACACATTACACAACCATGAATTTTGATTTGGAAGATTTCCCTTGCAAAAGAAAACCTGTCATTTTGGATCACAATCTTTTGACAAGACCCAGTACTGGCATTTGTTTAATTCTAATCATTTTATTATCAGCACAGTAATAAGTCCACTACTGAACTGGAGAGAAATGCTAAACAAACAGGGAAAAATGTGGGTTTTTTTAATTACAAAAATTAATTAAATACGCTGGGTTTTTTTCTCATTCACAATCAACAACAGGTCACTAATGTCTGTATAAGATACACTAAACACACATACATTTATTGGGTAAAATTATCACTCTCATCATAAATTTGTCAAGAAATGTGTTCATTTTGTGAGTGATTACAGACTCTAGGTGCACAGGAAAAAGAAGTTCTACTGCCACAATAGATACCACCATAAAAGTATACCTTATTGTGTGTTCTGGAAAACATAAACTAAAATAAACCACAGATCCCATTCTCTTTATATCACATGAAAATACATTCTAAAGGACAGTTCAAGCTAAAGGATCACAGTAATGTGATTTTTATTTTTAAAACATGGTGAAAGAAAATATATATGCAGTGTAACTTTTAATATTTGATTTTGAATGTGCTATATATGTGGCATATTGTCACAACTGCATTTTTCATTTTAGTTGAAGAATAATGTTTTCGATCTCAAAAATATAGAGTCCATACTTTTATGTGCTTTTACCTGGGCATAATCCTCCCTGAACAAAGTGGGACATTTTTTTCAATAAATAGACACAATACTGTGCTGTGGTTATATTAAGTAAAACAAAGACATGAGTGATTAAACTGAGCTCCACACACGCACGCATGTGTGTAGCACATGTATGTAGCATTTTTAACCCATCAAAATGTGGGGAAAGTGCAAGATGTTTGTACTGAAGGGAACATATATTTATAGAACATATAAAGTATAACCACACTGTAGCAACGCTATAACAAATATAAGCATATGTGTGATTCTCAACAGGATCAATAAACAGAGATTTATCTTGTTATTATACTTACAATACAAATCTGAACAAGTTATTTTAATATATATTTAAAGCTGTGGGGACAGGCTGCTTAATTTTTTAAAAATTACCTCAATCAAAACACAAAAATAAATCTGAAATATATATATTTGCATGGGATACTGTATAAAAGTAATGCTCATCTTTACTGAAAAATATTATTAAAAATAACTATCTCAGACCATGGATGGCTTCTAATATTCTCTGGAGTTGGTCAAACTTTTCACGCTTTACCAGCTAATTTGTCTTCCTACCATTCCTAGTGCTTAAAAGGTTAAGACTTTATTTTTGAAAACATAGAGCGATAGTAGGAATTCATGTTGTCTACAGCTCCATAAATCTTGCTTAAGATCCTTTTCAATTACCATCCATTTCTCCTTTAAAAAGGGACCAAAAAAGAAAAAAATAGAGGAGTGGAAGCAGGTCAGGGCAGTTTGTGACAATGACAGTGTGATGGGCTTGGAGCCCCTGTGGTGTTTCCATCTGCTATCATTAAGGTGACTATTCAGACATGAAAAAATCCCTCTTGCTGTGCTGACAGGCAGACATCAAGAACTATGACAAGGCATTAAGACAGTAAGTCAGAGACAGAGATGTCATATCCCACAAACAATACTGTCTCAAACAAGAGCACTGAAATTTGGTTGGGATTTATAATAAAAAATAACAAAAGGGGCTTTGCTCGGAGGTTATCAAACTTCCTTTTACAGCAGTTTGACAACACAGAGATTGCTGGCAGTCACCTAGTGAAACACTTTTCTCCTACCTGTAATCTTCACCATAAGAAACCCAAATTTTTTGCTCATTCTGCAGTAAAAGTGGGTTTTTAATTTCTTGTCCAGTCTCATCAAAAAGCTGAGTTGGAAAGCGGCTGAGGCTGGATGGTTTGAATTCTGCTGAACATTGGAGCCTTCGGTGAATTATGTGCTGTACCTGGCAATGGAGAATATAAAAATAAAATGGGAACATCTGTAATAAACTGTTTGCGCTCCATCATAACCAGTGATGTCCAAACAAACGATAATTAAATTCATATAGAATGTTAAAGGAAGTGTGAAATGACTGCAATGTTTATCTCAGTGTAAAGTAACAAAATGAGCACAGGCTTTTAACCAGCAGGGGGTGCAACAGGATTATGGTTGAGCTCTGACCCTTTGGCACACCGACTGAAAGCAGATGTGACAGTTGTACAGAACAAGCAGTTAGCTTCTACCTACTGTAACAGCTCCCCTGATAAAGGTTATGTTTTCCCAGTCCATATTTGGAGCTACATTTTGTTAGTGTTTTCACTGGGCTTGTTGAGATTTGACAAGGATGCTGCTCGCTTCCACCTGCTCGCCAAGCCATAGGCGATCAATAGGCGAACAAGAATAATACAAGACTCATTTAACAATTTCAGCACTGTGCAAATATATACTGAGACATGCCAAAAGCCCTTTAATAGCCTCACCTGCTTAATTTAAGGGAACGTTTAAGCACTGAGAGGTATTATTTATGTCACAGTTCTCAATCGAATCCAATTTCACTTGGCTTCTATAGCTTTTTCACATTTCTATCTCTACCCCCTCCCCCCCCCCCTTCAGTGAAATTTAGGAAATCACCATGCAGCTATTGTGACTACATTGCAAATTTGGTGGTCTCTTTGCCATTTTATGTCTCTGTGATCATGGTCAATCTAAACATAAGAGCTTCCATACATTCCTCTTTTTAGTATTTTCTGAGTACAGGAAGATATCCTATCCAAAATTATTCATACTCTATCCTCCTTCACCAGCTCCTATCACAGAGGCTTCTAAAATGACTATGTTGCCACAGCATTTATCATGCTAGAGATACACCACCAGTTTTATTAGCACCTATTGGAACCATATACATGACACAAACTACCACTAAAGAAGTGTAGTTCTACTGACACCCTTAAAAGAAAAAATGGAACAGCATTTGGAAGTGCCCATAACAGTTAGAGGAAAAAAATCCAAGATAAAAAATGATTGATATTACTCCATGTCTGATATTAGCCACTTTGAGAATGTCTGCTGATACCTATAGAACTGGTCACTATACCCCTTGGGCAGCCATTTACTTATTGTCGTAGAACATGGCTACCAAAGGGCATGTCCACTGAAGCAAAGTTGTCAATCCTGTGATATCAGACAAAAGAAGAGGGAGTAGCTCAAGAGTTGTTGTTAACTTCCATCAAGTCAACTTCAACTTATCGTGACCTTCTTGAACAAGAGACTTCCAAGTCCCCCTATCATCAACCACCCTACTCAGATCTTACAAACTCAGAGTTGTGACTTCCTTGATTGCATCAATCCATCTGAAATGTGGTCTTCCTCTTTTTCTGCTGCTTTCTTCCTAACTAAGCATTGTGATCTTTCTAGGCAGTCCTGTCTTCCCATGATATGATCAAAGTACAACAGCCTCAGTTTAGTCATTATGGCTTTTATGGATTATCAAATAGCAGCCTGGAACACTGAGACAGAGTGAGACCATTAGGATAGAACTACCCAAGTGAGATGTCCCAAAATAAGTCAGAATGAATAAAGCAAAAAGATTTAACTGAAGCATTAACTTCCACCATTCCTGCAATAAGCAAAGGCAGGTCAGAACTGGGAGGGTAGGACTGGCTCTCACCCTTAAGGTGGTAAGATTGATTGTCAGATGGCATGCCCTGCCTTTAGAGTATGAGGGAGGAACTTAAAGGATTATCTTCCCACACTTCTGGGTTAATGAAGATTAGAACTATTAGAACTTCTGTTCTTTCTGTCTCTGTTCTACATTGGCAATATGGAACAAATACTGTTGGTACACCGTGCATAAGTATTATTTTTAAAAAAATAATATTTATTATATATCAGGTATAAGAAAATAAAATGTAATCATAACACAGCAAAGCATACAAACAGCCTGTCAGTTAAATCTGAGCTTGGAAATATATGAATATAGTAGGCATACAATAATATATGAACTATTCCTTTCATTCTTATCCATCTCCTAGCCTCTATCTATAAGTACAAAAGAAGTATGAACATTTAGCTATACTTTAAATTGAGAGCTATTAAAACATACAAAGCACCCAGAGCAGATACCTATCTGATACTTTTTAATACCATATATTTTATATAATTGTGATTGTATACATAAAATATTTCTTAACTTACCTTCTCTAGCATAACACTGAGTTGATTCCCACAATTACTGGTTCTTTCCATCTCTTTTCTACTGATGTGAACAATAGTTTCCCCAGTATCTTTGCCATTTTTATAAACCTTACAAACAAACAATAATTTAAAAATTACCACACAGAATATATTCCAGTGCTTATATCATATCTTATATTGTTCAGAATATTCAGCACTGACATTTAAAACAAGTTCCTTATTATTTGGTTTGTTATCAACACAGTTACATAACATGGTTTTCCAGATCTGTTGCACTTGAAAGATTTTTCAGCATTTCTTGCTGAATTCTTGATTATAATTAAAGACACATTTTGTTTATTTTCAGAGGAAAACATCCTTTCGTGTTTTTTTAAACATTACTATTTCTTTCCAGTGTGATCCCTGTATTTGAGGAAATGCATTGTGATACTACTTTTGTGAGCAAAGATAATGAATTGATGTTTGTTTTAATCAAAGGAATGAAAATGGTTATATTCATCATTCAAATCAGAGTCCTTTCAAATCTCATAAATTTCTTACAGAGATAAAAAATATATACAGTTAAAACAGATTCAAATTTTTCTTACACAAAAAGCAACCATGATAGATAGATAGATAGATAGATAGATAGATAGATAGATAGATAGATAGATAGATAGATAGATAGATAGGTAGATAGGTAGGTAGGTAGGTAGGTAGATAGATATTAACTGAAGTTACATTTTAAGTCTAGGACTGAGTTATATATTAGTAAAATGAAGAGCTAACAAAAAGCTAACACATTTTACATTTAAATTTTCCCTTTCTAACCTAAATGAAACTGAATTATATTTTTACATTTTTAGATTAACAATTAACTAAATATGTTAACCTTGTTCCACTAACTTTCATATCTCTTGTTTTTTACATATCAAAAATTATCTGCAAGGAAAGAAAAAATATATATAGTTTTACAGTGATTCTGAATGTACAACTGCCTTGTGGAAATATTGTTCAAATAGTCATTTGAAATAAATTAATTTCCCATTTGCAAGAGAATTTTCTAATATATTTTGTCACGCATATAACAAGGAAAAAGAGAAATAGCAACAATAACACAACAGTGGTTACTCAACAGGGACTCTGAAATGCAAAAGGAACTAGATTTGACCTCTACCCCTGAGACTGTCACTCGGTTATACCCTTGTCACTTAACTGTATGAGTTATAATTGATCTGTTACATTTACACGTAACAAAAAACAAGGAAACTATTACATGCTATTTAGATATTTTAAAGCAATCTTCCTGGGTCAAGTTCACTACAGAATTTGCATATAATGTACTGTATATGTCATATTGGTGGGCCTAATTATGATCACAATATAACCAAAAACACAGGGAGAGGCAACATTTATTTGTCTTGCTGTGCTGTTGTTATTGTTTCCTGCTGTTTCCTAACCCTTGGAAGTCAAGGCAGCTCGCAAAAATATTAACAGAAACAGGTAAAAGTCTGCAGCACTGAAAATATATAAAATATATATAAATATAATATATAAACATATCTAATCAAACTTCAAATCAAGTTAAACCCAATTTTAAAGCATAAGTGAAATGAACACAGGCGATGCACACATCACATTATTAAAAACTCTCTCAAGCATCCTAGTTGGTTCATATTTGCATTTACACGGCAGCGCTTGTGTGAGTCTCCTACTATTCTGTTATATACCAACAGATGTGCTTGTGAGTGTGTGTGGTATGTAGCCACTTTTTTCTCTCTTTTAAAAGAGAAAAAGTTGGATAATAATAATAATAATAATAATAATAATAATAATAATGGGTTATGTCCTTAGACCAAAATTCCTATTCAGTGACCGTTGGGTGGTTTGGAAACAACCTGATTTGACTGATTTAAAGACTGCCTGGTTTGATCCAGATTCAAATCTGAATTTAGTTTCAGAAATCCAAAATCTCATGCTACCCATTGATTTTATTTGGCAATAAACATAACCTTCCAAACTGGAAAAAATGGAAGGCTATGTGTAAGAGCCAGAGAATTATGAAGAAAGTGAAATAGCTCAAGATTTTATTTAACACACAGTTTACACTAAGGTTAAAGTGAGTACAAATACAACAGGGTTAAAGATATTGTATGGATCACACAGAGACAGAGGAAAAAGTATTGAACACTATATTTTCTAAACAATTATCCAGAAATATACTTAATGTTCCAAATACGCTGAAGTCTCTTCAGATTATACATATTTCTCAACTTCTCCATTACTTTTCACACACTCTTCTTTCCATTTGTTTATAAATGTGTTCAAAGAAGCTTTGAACCATCTGATGGTTCTGAAATATCACATGATGCCAAAGGTAACAAATAATTACCTGTGCTGATATATGCTACCTTAGGAGAGTTATTATGACCTGGGTATGATGAAAGGAGAGAGGCTTCTCCTCTGTGATGACAACCATTGCCTCTACATATATGTATGTCTGCTTATACTGGAGTGGGCAAAGTGTCGCTCTGGGGCCACATGAAACCACCAAGGCTAGTTATGTGACCTTCAACCCCTTAAAGTTCTTCCTAAATTTGCCACAGTTGCTCATTTCTACTCTATACACAGAACTTGCGAACAAAGAAAAAAAACACTCACCTATGCAGGGAACTGATGCAAGGTAGCTGCATTTGAATAATCTGCTTTAGGGAGGAAAGGCTAAGGGATACAATAGCAGGCTAGTAAAACATAACAAGAATAATCCAAACCTGTGCCTACTAATTTTTCCCATTGCTTCAATTTATTCATTTGGAATGTGACAAACAGCTTGTTGTTGAGAAATACAATTCACAAGCCACAATTCCTGGAGTGTTCACATTTAGGGAGCTTCCCAGACTCCAACTATGTGCTGCACTACATTACTAGCCATCTAAGTATTACTAACAAACAGATGCACTGTGATACTTTTTGTACTTTTGTTCTTTGTAGTTTTATAGCCAGTTTATACCTGTGAATCCCTACATTATCTATGCAGATAACCGACCAAAGAAGAGATAAGGAAAAGTCTATGGGCATAAGTAACCATAATGAAGTGCAAAGAAAACTTGCACAGTTTTTACTTACAGGTGTATAAAATAGTTTTATTAGGTGATGATCTAATAAGGTTTTTTCATATACAGTACATAAATAGATGTGGAATATTGTTTTTCTTTAAAATTTAAAAACTTCTTTCTAGAACTGATAGATTTCCAGCAAGACTGAGAGAGGTCACAAATAATAGAACTGGAAATATGAATATTGCTATTTTTATATGCTGTACTGCAACCAGTGAGGTGGACTATGTCTAAACAAAATCTCAATATATGATCTTTTCTTCCCATCTTGAATATGTCAAAGCACACTATGCTGCTTTTGGTAAAATGATTCACACTGACACCATATTGCCAATTGAAGTAGAAAGAGACCTACCTCTGGAACAAACGCAAACAAAAGAGAATCACTATCAACTAACCCAAAAAAGACCTGTTCCTGTCAAAAAATATGGAGTCCATTCTTTTGTTTTACACTTTAAATATTGGAGACTTCTGTGAGAGCTGAAATTATAAAAATACTATTAATTTGTGGTCTGTTTAGACATGATATGGCTCTATGGAACACAGCATCTCTGTTTACTAGCATGTTTTCAGTGCCAGCTGCCAACTTGAGAAAAATCCATGACAACACACAAGGGCAACATTAGTTTTTCTACCACTACTAAACAAACTGTTAAAAGTTCTGCTAACCTCACAGTAGGTGTTACACTAAGAGCAACTGAGCAGTACTTATTTCCTATATTACAGCCAAAACAATTTCCCACCCAAGTGCAGAGAAGCGAAGAGGCACATAATAACACACAAAAATAAAGGGGAATGATAGCAGACAAACTGAATGGATGCCTGGCTCTTTTGTAGAAGTCTTAGACCATCTTGATATGTAAGGAATAACAGCACTAAACATGCATAGCCTATGCCCTTAATGTTTTAATATCAACTACTCTTTCCTCTGGTTGGAGCCATTTTACTTGAAAAACCACTTTATAATAAAAAAAATAATGTTACAAATTAAATAAAATAAGTCCAGTGAAACTGGGATTGCTTATCCATTTCTTTAGGATCCTCATTCCAGATCCCAAGTGTTTTATTCTTTCTTTTTAATATATATTAACCGGCAATGGAAAAGCAGTAGTTAACAATGGATGTATTTAACACAGAAATAGAAAAAACTTCTGTGAAGCCACTAGGCCTTGATTATGGGGCAAACATTTAACAATATTCAGACCAAAACTGATAGAGGCAATGCACTATGGCCGAGGCTCCAGGTAACTGTTATTTTCACCTTTTCAGAATATCATTGGGTAATGTGATATTCTCAGAACAACATTATATTCTGAGGAGATTAAGAACCTCATCACACTAAGTCACCTAAAGTGAATGACAGCATAGCAAGGGAATTCTCCAGGCAGCATGGCTAATCTGACAAGGAATCTGTTGCCCCATGCCCTGCATCGCCCGCAGTGCTGCCTTCCCCATTGCACGGGGGAAAGTGTCACTGCACAGCTTCCCCCATGCTCAACACACTGCTGGTAATGAAAACATGTGAAACCTCCCATATTTTCCTTGCCTTTTCTTAGGACTCATCCAGTGGGGCAGAGCCCTGCCAGAAGTAGCTCTATGTTGTTTGATAGAATCTGGCAGGCTCCATCCCCAAACTGTGCTGGAAGTGTCCTAGGACAGCTAAAAACCTAATTGGATGAGATCCTAAGAAGGAAGATGTCCAGATGCTTGGAGAAAGCAATGCTTCACTTTGTAGCCTGTCACAGCTCAGACATAGAAAGGGGCAGAAAAATGGAAAGGTTTATAGGAAAGAAGAGGAGGGCTGAAATATTGTGATGCATGCGCATAGGGGTTGGAGTAGGGAAACCGAGGTGGCCAGGTGGATAGAAAAAAATTGGCTTGGAGGTGCAAGAAGTTATCAGAGAGTGTTTTATCCTGGTGACCCAAGGCTCTACTATTCAAGGGTTTACAGTCTAAGCATTTCTGTCACTTCTTGCTAATATTAGTTCATAATGAGATTGATTGGGTGGGGGGGGGGGGGTGACGACAGCAACTACATAGTGCACATTTGTTTTCATTCTGCTGTTCTGAACATTTAAACAGTACTATTAAAATTGGCTACTCTGCAGTCAAAATTTGACACTGATTAAACTTTAGCTGACACTAATAAAAAACAATGGTACTCTTTCCATGTTTACACAAAGGTTCCTATGTATGCCACCTTGAGTTTCAGTTTTGGTGAAAGTTGTGATATAAATCAAGCTGATTTTTATTGTTTTTGTCATTGTTATTTAAAAAACAAGAATAGAATAACGACAATAATCCATGCACTGGTAAACCCAGGACTGTATAAATGCAATGTATTCTATATAGGTCTATAATAAAGGCCAGCTGAAAAGAAATGCAAAACCGCAGCAATTTGAGTAAACAGGAAAGCCTACTGAAAAGATGTCATATCACTTCTAAGAAGTTGCACATATTGCTAATATACCAGCCTCAAGATATTTTCTGACTTCATATACAGTTGGTGCAGATCTTCTGGTGTCAACTAAACACCTATCTAGGATTTTAAACAAATCTCTGCTGCTGAGCTCTGTACATTGCTATTTAATTGTTTTTTTGCTTGATTATTTTTGTATGCCTGCCTGTTTTACTGGTACAAAAAAATTTTGTACTGAAAATTTGTTAATGAATGTTTATAATTACTATTTTGTTAATAAGGGGGCTTACTCCCTAGTAATCGCATTTAGAATTGTAATTCTGGACAGAGAGCAATACACAATTGAATTTTTACTTCTACATAATTTTAAAGATGGGACCTGTTCTGGTAACCTTCACATTCTAACTATAGCAGACTGTTTTTTTTCTCTTTCCTGGTTTTGCTCATTGTCATAATGGCTAAATTAGAAAATCTACAGCTAATGCATCAAAATATTTTCCTAAAATCATGGATTTCATTACATTCATTGTTTTGGTATCATAACAAGAACAACAAATGTCTGAATATGAATGTGTGTGTTGTATCACCACAGAAGCTTCTTGATCCTTCAAACCCAAGATTGGGAAATTCAGAAATGTGCAATATGTTTTTACTCCATATATGATTTAAATTAATTAATTATAGACAGACTGCTGAAATACAAATTAAAAACTGGATATAAAATGCACACTGATGTGCTGAGGACCACTTTCAGATATGAAGGAAGTGCAACCCATTATGTTTAACATCAAAATACTATCTAAACTATCCAACAAAATGTATGGAGAAAATTCAGTTCTGTATGCAGAAATTGTGAATCAGTACAGAAGAGACAGAAATGAGGATGCTATCCTCAAAAGAATACTCTAAATTAATACCACAATTCAAGAACACATGGAGTTTTTCAATATTCAGGACAATATTGGTTAAAACAGCAAACCAGACCACCTAGGAAGCTTGCCTGTGTATCAGCTAAAGAGCAAAAGCCAAAGAAAAACTACAGAACTCTAGGAAAATAAATTGGAAATAGAATCAACAGACAAACAACACCAACAGGGATGTCTGATTACTCTCACACTGAGATCAACGTCTTGACAATATTGTTGTAATATGCTTAAGATTTTCTCCTTCCTAAGTAATGTAAGCAACAAAGTAGTATGGCAATATCTACTTTTCAACCAAGACCGGGTGAAGATAACTTAACATGAGGAGTTAAACCATTAAAAAAACTAATTAGGCAGAATAGTGGGCTGGCAGGTTGCATTAAAATCTTCTTTGTGTTCCTCTTGTTTAAATCATCTCATAATACAAACAAATACATTTTTTAAAAATAAAATAATCTTTCATTCAATAATACATGGTTATAACATTTAATGGAAAGCTTTCACCCACAGGTAATTTCAGTATGCTTCAGTATGATTGGATGAAGGAGTCAAAGAAGAAACATCAGCAGATTTAGACTTTTCTTACAAGACAAAGAATCATGTTTCCTCCTCTTTTTAGAAACCTGAAAAGGAGTCTACTTCACACTTAGGGCACTTCCAGCAGCACCAAATCACGGGTTTTCCATGAGTGACAAAAAAAAAACCCCTTGGGACTTGAGAGCAGGTCCACACACAGACCTGTTAATACTGGGCTTTCTGCCTGCGACATCCAGACTTGCTGCTTTGTTATGGGATTTCAAAGGCCGCAAAAAGGCCATTGCGGGAACAAAGTTTGTGGAGAAGGAACACTACTTTCAAAATCAGGGCTACACTATTAAACAGGAACTGACACTTTCAAGCCAGGAACAGAACTTCATCATTATTATTATAATTCAGGGGCTGCATGGCCATCTGTGCAGGCAGGTTTGGTCATGTACTTGTGCCTGGGAACAAGAAGGTGATGTTCCTGGGTTATACATATCTGCCCAACCTCCTGCCTTGCAGGAAAAGCACAATCAAAGCATCCTTGGCAGATGGCCATTCAGCCTCTGTTTAAAAGTCTCCAAGGAGTCAGAGAGTTCCACTGTTGAACAGCTCTTCCAGTCAGGAAGTTCTTCCTGATGTTCAGGAGGAATCTTCTTTCCTGTAATTTGAACCCATTGCTAAGTTAAAGCTATTAAGCTCCTTATTAATAACAAAGGCAATGCATAACCAAGTAATCTATTTTTCCTTATGTGTTAGTCCCAATTTCTGACTCTAATAGCTTATTCATAAGTATATGCATGTTGTTACTCCTTGCAGTATGTCCCTGGCTTTGTGCATTTTAGTAGGAAAACCTGCAGTGTGTGCCCTTTATAAATGACATTATTTGTATGCATCTCGTATTAGAAATAAGTTTTTGCATATACAGTGTTATATACATCTGCCTTCTTGCATTTATTTATAGATCTTTAATCTGCTGGTTTAATTAAATACTAATGCAAGATCCTCCACTTTGGCAGAAAAAATGAAATGCAAAGATACAGAATGGGGGACGCCTGGCTCGAGAGCAGTACGTGTGAAAAAGATCTTGGAGTCCTCGTGGACAACAAGTTAAACATGAGCCAACAATGTGATGTGGCGGCAAAAAAAGCCAAGGGGATTTTGGCCTGCATCAATAGGAGCATAGTGTCTAGATCTAGGGAAGTCATGCTACCCCTCTATTCTGCCTTGGTTAGACCACACCTGGAATATTGTGTCCAATTCTGGGCACCACAATTCAAGAGAGATATTGACAAGCTGGAATGTGTCCAGAGGAGGGCGACTAAAATGATCAAGGGTCTGGAGAACAAGCCCTATGAGGAGCGGCTTAAGGAGCTGGGCATGTTTAGCCTGAAGAAGAGAAGGCTGAGAGGAGATATGAGAGCCATGTATAAATATGTGAAAGGAAGCCACAGGGAGGAGGGAGCAAGCTTGTTTTCTGCTTCCTTGGAGACTAGGACGTGGAACAATGGCTTCAAACTACAAGAGAGGAGATTCCATCTGAACATCTGGAAGAACTTCCTGACTGTGAGAGCCGATCAGCAGTGGAACTCTCTGCCCCGGAGTGTGGTGGAGGCGCCTTCTTTGGAAGCTTTTAAACAGAGGCTGGATGGCCATCTGTCAGGGGTGATTTGAATGCAATATTCCTGCTTCTTGGCAGGGGTTGGACTGGATGGCCCATGAGGTCTCTTCCAACTCTTTGATTCTATGATTCTATGATTCTATGATAATGAATTGGAATACTGGAAGAAATAAATCAAATTCTCACTTTTGAAGAATCAAAATTAAAATGTACAATGTGGTTGGAATATTATTGAAGAAATGCCTTTTAAAATCACAGTTGAGAAATTACCACATTACCTTTAGCTGCAGACCTTGTGAGAGAAGTGTGTTTGCAGGAAGTTCTTTAATGTGCTGGTAGACATATGAAGTGCATTGCTCTTGTTCAGCTCGTAACTGAGGGAGAAGTTTTGAGAGGTGACCTTTGTAGCTCTTTACGGCTGCCTGCAATTCATCAATCAACTTGTTCACCTGAAGGGTTAAATTACAATAGTGGTTAGTAGGAGGCAATTGTTGATGTCACACCTATTAGAAAGAAAAATTTAGAGAGAAAAAGACATATGAAAATCAACAGGCCAGTCCGATAGACCTCTGCTATCTCCTCACTGAAAATAACACTTTGCTTTTATGTTGCATGAAATTATTTAACATTAACATTAACATTAGGTTAGAAAGGTTTCTTTAGAATGCACTTTATTAATGACTACATTTATACGCATGCATATTTCACACACACAAAAAGGATACATATAAAGTTGGTATATCTGCCAACTACACCTCTAATTGTAATTATAACAAAATCAACTATGATTAAAACAGTTACTTTGGGGTCCTGTTGATCACCGTCAACAGTTGATCACTGTCAACTTAATATATTTACTTGGTAATAGATTAGTTACCCTTAACCAAAATGCTTGGGACCAGAAGTGTCTGGGATATTAGCAGACAAACTTCATATCTGTTCCTTGTAAGTGAATGGAAAACATTATTAAAGATAAAACTATAAAGCAAATAGATGAACAGGTTTTGCCAAAGAAGATTCAGTATGTTTTCTGTAAAGGTAAGTCCTATCTCATAGTGGTTCCAGACAGCACCAAATCACAGGTTTTAATCAGGGGCAAAAAATCCCAGGACTTCAGAAGAGGTCTACATACAGACCTGTTGGTCCCATGATTTCTGCCTCCATCGTCCAACACTCGTGGCTTTGTTGTGGAATTTAGAGGCTCCCAAGATGGCTGCCATGGGACTTCCACCGGAAATTTCAGCAGTTTTATAAAACTTACGATGTGAAGATGCAAAGATGCGAATCATTGTATAAGTTCTGTTCTTGGGTTATATAAGATGCAGGACCATCTGTGCATACAGGGTGTTGTTCCTGGGTTATGCATGTCTGTTTGATTGCTCTTATTGTGAAAAGAGGTACAACGTTGTCTAGGTGATCGCAACTTTGTCCTGGCCAGAGAAAATGTGCCCTCCACATGTTTCATGAAGTTTCTGGCACAAAAATAAAGTTTTCGCATTCTACTCAACTGTCATCTTTTTAGGAACAGACCCATCAGGAACAAACATTTAAAACCTGGGAATAAACCTAAATTTAAAAACCTCGTGTTTTCCAAATGCAGGGACATATAGACATATAGAACCAAGATATTCCTGCACCTGAAAATCTCACTCTTTTTTTGCAGTTTGTAGCATTTCCTCCCACGTTTTGAGGGAACCACATCTGCCCACCCTCCTGTTTGCTATGAAAGCTCCTGGACGGACCCACACTAAACTTCAGAGTTCTCAAAAAGCATCATTGCAAAGTGATATTGAGATTAACTTAGAGAAAGATTGCTGTAGCAAGCTTTTGTAGCTGTTATTAGCTTTCAAAGTTGTTTGTTAAATTTTGTAGGTGGATTCTGTAGGAAAAGGGATGACAATTCTTATAATGATAAGATCTATTGGTCTGACAGTTTCTATGATGATAAGATCTAAATGAGGTTTTTTAACTTCTTAAATCACTGTGGATGTGGAGAAAGTAGATCGTGAGATGTTTGTTCCTCACTCTCAGAAAAAATGGAAGCTGGAATCACTCAGGGCCCTTCCACACAGCCATATAACTCAAAATATCAAGGCAGATAATCCACAATATCTGCTTTGAACTGGATTATCTGAGTCCACACTGCCATGTAAAGCTGTGTGGAAGGGGCCTCAGTAAAGCTGAATGAATGATAGGAGATCCAGAACAGACCAAAATATTCTTACACACAGTTTAGCATAAGAATTTGTTACCTTGATGTTTGGTAAAAATCTAAGTTGGATGGCTTTAGAAGGTGATCAGACGGTATCTGTGGATTCAACCATCCACAGCTTGATTTTTTTTGTTCTATAAAGCAAACCTTGATTTCCACTATGTTATATATGGGACATCATTTTTTATACCATTGTATATGGAACCTCCTTTGTGACTTTTGACCAATCCTGTACGTAATAAGACAGAAGCACCCACAGATTTTGCTATCCATGGGGCAGGCATCCTGAAACCAAACTCCAGCAGGTACCAAGGGCTCACCGAACAGACTTTATAAAAAGCTAATGATTATTATGTATTGCCTCTAATATCAGATACAGTATGCCTCTCAATTACTATTACTGAGGAACAGGTCCAAAAATGCTGAATGGTACTCATTTCCTATTAAAAGCCTACCTAGTCCAGGAGTCTGTTCACGCAGTAGCCCTCAAGATATTTATTGAAAGACTTCAAAGTAAAAGCCAATCTACAATGGTGCCATTCTACTAGCACAATTGACATTGAACTCGATATTTTGTCCCGCACTATACACCAGGAGTGAGTCCAATAGTTTCCTTATTTTTTTTTTAACAAATAGTTTTATTTTACTAAAGGTGCCCAAATGGGAAGAGGGGATTCAATTTTGATTATAAATAAATAAATAAATCTTAATCTCATCTATTTCCAAAACCAAGCGATGTCTGCAAGCAGTGCTAGGCAGAGAAGGGCCAAAGTGTTTAAATTGTCAGGTGTGAGATAGGGAAACAGTGTATTCACTCTAGATTATATTAAAAGTTAGCTCCCTTTACATTTTGTTTAAACAACTTTTCCACATACTTAGATTATGTTTTAATATGTTGGTATTGTTTCCCATGATGTGACTGCTGTTTATCCTTAATATTCTAGATTCAACTATGAACTTAATTTTTATAAATATTCAATTACCGTATCTCTGTTTACAATTGTTTGTTAAAATTAAGCATTGCCTGTTGAGTCAGATTATTTAATTCAGCGACAGTTTGTGGCTTTAGAGCTGCAGCTACACAAAAAAGAAATAGCAGTTATTGGTCATCAATGCTCTGAATGTTTCTTCAGCTAGATCAAAGAAACTTTTTGTCAACAAAGACCATTCTGCAAAATGGCTTTTCTGGGGTTTTAAAAAAATTCCTCTGGAAACAATATACTTTCAAAGGTCAATCTGTAAGTGACCAAACCCACCTTTCAAGTCTGTGTTCCCTCAGATTTCACCTCAGATTTTTTTTTCCACTGTATGTTCTAAAAGCCAAATAAATAAAAAGCCTGTATAAAATTCTTCACTGTGAATAGCTTTTTTCTAACATAAAATCCCTCCCCACTCTCATTCAAATACAATTCTGAAAGAAGACAAAACTTGACCTTTTGTGATCCCCGTATTAATAGGTCTGTTCATAATTCAGTCTCTGTGTGTGGAGAAGCATCCATGTGGAAACATGCAGGGCTGTGAGATATATAGCCTTTCTCTTTACACATTTTCTGACCCTATGAATCCTTTCCACAAAGGAAAGCTTTATGCATGCATCAGTTTGGAAAAGAAATGCACACTCATTGTGCTTAAGAAAACACACACATTTTATCCCCCATTCTCCAGGAAAACCCTGTATGGATCTGAGTGGATAGACTGTAAGAACCAGGATGAGAGAGACTGTTGCTTAGACTAATCTTTGTTCAGATTAAATAGATAGCAAGCTATTTTTCTTAACATTGTGTTTGGTGTTTCCTGCCATATAGAGATGACTATGTGTAACAGTGGTAGTCATTGTCGCTATCTATATACCTCCATTAGAGTGCCAATCTGAAAATAGCAATGCTTCCATTGCCATGTTTTTCACTGCATGGTACATGTAATGTTTCTGTGCATTTTATATATGTATATAGAATATATATATTCTCTAGTTTAGGTACTACTTATAAATATATTCATATGGCTATGTTCCCAAGGAAATGAACCCATCATGAAACTCTTTCAGGGCCAGTATATAGACAGAAGAAATAAATATTCAAAAATGACATGAAAACACGCTGTCTACTCTCTTTCTGGTACAGCTCCAGTTGTAAACTGGACTTCTAGCCTCTAGAAAGCTCCTATAGTGAAGGTCTATGTCTGCAAGAGGAAAAGACATACATGTAGCCAGAATTAGCAAAAAGAAATGTGATCCGCCACAACATTTTGTACTGTATCCCCCCACTCTCTACTAAGCATCCTCCTATTGAGTATAGAGAATACTACCAGACACTGATCTACACTGCCATATAATGCAGTTTCAAAATGCAGTTTAACTGCATTGAACTGGATTATATGGCAGTGTATTTCAGTTAAGCTGCATTCAGTTAAACTGCATTCTGAAAACTGCATTATATGGAAGTATACATCCAGCCACTGCTTCCAAGCAGAGCATTCTATTGTCTGTTCATAAAAAAACTTCTGTAAAACTCAGAGCCCCCCTCATCCTGATATGCTTGTTTCTAAATATCCTGTTTTAGCAGTAATCTTAACCACATTATCACAAGATGGTTTTAAAACAGGCAGCCCCACATTTCTGCCACCTGCAGAATTCTGGGAAATGTAGTTTAGGGTGGGTCCTTGCCTTCCCAAACTACATTTCCCAGTATTTTGCAAGTGGCAGAAATGCAGGGCTGCCTGCTTTAAAGCCCTGGCATGATCATGTAATTATTGGGATTCACTACCTAAATTCAATACTAGGGAAAGCATCCATGAGAGGCTTTGGGTTTTTCAGGGTGCTCTGTAGTTCACTGACCCCCTGGAAATTGCTGTCAATATCAGCTTAATGATGTAACATTAGAAAACGTTGACCATTTCCATTACCTTGACAGCCACCTCTCCACAAAAGTTAACATCAACATTGAAATACAACACAGCCTGAGCTCTGTTAGTGCAGCATTTTTCAGAATGAAGCAGTGAGTGTTTGAGGATCAGGACATCCATAGGGATACCAAGGTGCTTGTTTATAAAGCTATTGCCCTCCCAAACCTGTTATATGCCTGCAAAACATGGACATCACACTCAACTTCTGGAATGATTCTATCAGCGTTGCCTCCGGAAAATCCTGCAAATCTCTTAGGAAGATGGGTGGACAAATGCCATCGATTCCGCTGGACTCCACCATCTTGTCTGAATGCTCGATTACCATCTCCCAAAGCA